ACCCAGTCTTAACCTTTCCACTCCTAATGCCTTCCCTTTCCCCCAGATCATGTCCTTCCCCTTAGCTGGTACAAACAAATCATTCCCTCCTAGGCCCTTGAACCCAAAGGACAAAGCACAGCTTTCCTCAGGAGAAGCAGGGAAGCACAGAGCTTCTGTAAGTGCGCTGGGGCAAGTGACTTCCAAAGAACAAAACACTCAGCTGTGAAACAAGGATTACTTGGGAGCTTGCCCAGTAAGGGCACACGGAGGCTGAAGCAGTGGCAGGAATACTTTGGCCGAGGAGTCCCAACAGTAGCGATGACACGAGGGTGGAGAGCCCGTTGCTCGGCGGGTCAGCTCCGACGCGTTGCCTTGGTTCCAGCTCTCTGTCCCCGGACACCAAGGTCATTGGTAGAGCAGGTAACTCTTGAGGGAGGCTGGCAGGGGCAGCGTGGGGATCTCAGTCAGTCTCTCCTTGCCCAGAGCGAGCCTCACAGCTCGCCGACACAAGTCCATCAAAGGCAGTGGTTCAGCTGGGGAGAGAGAAGCCGAGACATCAGCACCTCAACCTGCAAGACACACGTTCAGTTTGCTGGTTCTAAAAAACCCCCCAGAAGAGACTGAGCGAGAAGAGTGAATGCCTGGCACGTCTGCAGGACCCAAACCCTTCAGCATCCACATATCAACAACTTCAACTCAAATACACCGGCAGAGCACGATGTTTGTGGACGTTACTTAAGCCATACAGGTGTGAACAAAAAACCCACCAGAATCCCCAAGTTACCCCTCTGCAACACCATTCACTCAAGTCAGAACACAGCTTGTGCCTCTTACTGCAGTACCCAAAAAAAACTTTTGTAAGAGTCACTGAAGGAAAAGGCTGCAGCAGCCTGAGAGCATCACGTGGTCTGGGTACCCAGAAGGCACCATGATTTGTCTCATATATAGGATAACAGCTGTCAGCCCCCTTCATTTATATCACATAGTTCCCAGGAAAAACAAAGCCATCTGTCAAAGCTTCGTGTCACCACTTGTATTGTGACATTTTCCACTAGAGGATTCCCTCCTGTGTCACAAACCTGGGAAGGATACAAGCCTTTGGCTATCTTTTTTTTGCATCCTGTACTTAAAGCACTGAACAAGATAATACAAGTTTTTCAGGAATGGCACATGGGGCCCTTTGCTGTTGAGGAGTCATTCACAACTTAGAGGGGACTAAGGTCAAAGCCAGAGCTAACAAACACATCACAGCTGCACAGAGGGGAAGATCCACATTAGTTACTCACAGCTCCTGCTGCTGAGTCTGTCAAAGCTCACCTTTACCCAACATGCTGCTCCAGCCTAAGGGGTTTCTCCTCCCCCAAGAGAAAACACAAAAGACATCCCAAAGCAGAGAATTGGATGTCCTTCTAACAGCCTGGGGGCTCTGCCTGCACCCTTGGAAAGCTTCCTTTACAGACCTCTTGGGCTGAACACAGACCTAAAAGCACCCAGAGGCGTGGAATGAGTTTGGTTGAGAAGCTGCAGTTGTCAGGAGCTTTGACAGATACCAAGAGCTATAGCTTCTACTACTGCATGCAAAATTACTCTCACTGTTCATACAGCTTTTGAAACAGATGAGGGACAGAGAAAGCTCACTTTCTCTGAGCATGGTCATGTTACTGCATTTTTTTTTTAATCAGAATTCATTCCATCAGTAACGTGGCTACAAGCACCTTCCTTCCAGGTTCAAAGGTAACATTGAAAATCTCAAATAGAAGGGTGTTATCAGTGGCCTCTCATCAGGTCACTCCTGATTCTACTTTGGAAAAAAATTAACAGCCACACTGCTCCATGCAGAAAACACTTCCAATGAGAAGGGGGAAAAAATAATCTTTATCCCAGTTTTGGCAAAAAGTCTATGAGAGGGAGAGTTTGTTAGCTGAGGAGAGACTTGGTAACAAAGTCAGGAAACACAGGCTTGAATTGGTCTGCCTCCCCCTCATGTTCACAGACAGAGCTGAACCAGTGCTCTGTTTCCCCTCTGTCCCTGCTGTGGATCCCAAGCTATCACCTCCTTCCAGGGGAAGCTGCAGTGAAATGGTTTTTCCTATCAGTTGTGCATTAGTTACTCCTGATCATTAGTTACTCATAATCATGCCTCTATATGCACACCTCTCCTGCACTGACAGCTGGGTGGGGAGCACACGGATGTGTCAGGGCAGTGCTGATGTTTCCCAAAGCCCCACCATTTACCACACGTGTTCTGTGTCCCAGGGAAGCCCTGGCTGCAAGCCCTGCTCCTGCCCCACTTCAGGATTCACGCTGCCTCTTCCACAGGGACAGCTCCCTGCAGCCAGACTGCACCTCTGTGGCACTGCCAGGGAGGCCCATTCCTGGCAGCGCTCCTTTGGCACTTCCCAAAGCAGCCTATTCTTAAACCACTGGGGTACAAACACTCTGCATTCAAAGTCTGCCCCAATTCCGCCTGCGCTGTGTGGAGATAGCTGGGACAGGGGCATTGTCTAGCCAGCATCCCAGGGGACGAGGGGCCTGACCTTCCAAGCCTACAGACATTAACATAACAAATACATTTCAGTTTAAGGGCCTTAAAAGGAGAGGATCTTCCACAGAGATTAAGAACAAGAACTTTATCCTCATCTAGTTTGTGCTGATAACCCAGTCTGACGGGAGACCCAAAGAGAAAGCACGCACATATCTGACCTCCTTCCATTCACAGGCACTACAATCACTGGACAGTGTTGCTATTGAATGCTCAGAAGTGGTTAGAGCCAGACACCTTCTTTCTATCAGTGCCAAAATAGCATCCCGTCATTCCTGGCCCTGTGCCCACAATTCACTCCTATGCTGAGAGCACATTTACAACCCATCCAATCCTGGAGGTGGCCATTTCCTTGCTAAGTGCAGCTCTGCTCCAGCAATTCCACAGCCTTGCTGGCTTTGAGGGGAGCTGCAGGTTTTGGCTTTGACCCTTCAGCAAAACCTGGTTCCTGGAGCTGCTGCCATTCTGTAAACTGTTGGGGCAGGAGGATCTGGGCTTTTCTTTTGGTAAGAAAGTGCTCTGCCAAGAGCTCTCTACTTGCTCTTGATGAGATGCAATGTATTTCTCAAAGCACTTGTGGATCTTGCTGCCATCCCTTTGCAGGGCTCTCCTGGTTATTCTGACAGCTCAGTTTTTCTGGTGCCTGGTGGCAGCTCTGTTGTACCTCATGCCAGCAGTGCCAGGGTTTGCCAGTGCTGGCCCAGCATTAGGACACCTCTTAAGCACAAGTAAAGGAGCCCAGTATGCTACAGCCTTTGGGCAGACACTGTTCTGGAATGTAGGGGAAACACTGTTCTTCATATCAATTCTGCCAAATTTATTTCACCAGCAGTATAAATCCAGATTTTAATCCACTTCCTTCACCTCTCTCCTCCACCCTACCCAGAGGACTGAGTCACAGTCTGGCCCCATGGGAGCTTCTGACTATGAGAGATAACAGACTTTAGCACATTTGGACAGCCAAATTTATTACTAAGCTTAGCTAGAGATTGATGTGCCTGTTAGTAAAAGGCCTGGCATGCAAGCTGGGCTGACTACAATATCCAGCCCCCTGCTAGAAATGAGCACACCCTGCTCTGAAAGCAGCAGAGAAGTGAGCTACTTTTTTGAAAGATGAGACATTCCCATTTTCTTAGCTAGGGACAGATTTTCCCAGTCTTGCCTGAAAGGGATTTTAACAGTCCCTTCATTATCCATTTAAGGAAGGGGACTGTCTCAGACCATTTTCTCTAAAAAGACACCAGGATTACACTGCAAATAATGCAACTGTCACAAGAACATTTGCTGGTGCTTTGGCTGAAATACAGAAAGGTTTGCCACCTCTAGTCAGACAACTGGCAGCACCTTCCCCCACCACACTCTCCCACTCAAACCCTGCAGTGCCTGGGTACACGTGCACAGCCAAACTGCCTGGGTGAGCCACTAAGGATTCAGAGCTGTATCCAGCAACCCTCCTGCTGACATGAAGTCCTCACCTCCCCAGAAGGATGGAGCCCCTCCCCAGGCCCTCCCAGTGAGCCTGCACTGAAGCAGCAGCAGCTGATTTGAGCAGCCAGAACAAACACAAGAGTGATACTCACGGTCGAGTCCGTTCAAGTAGCACATCCGTATCTCACAGTGTCCCCACACTGCGCTCACCACCGGGTACAGCTTCTTCCCTTTGAGTCCTCGAAACGCCACCCCCATGTACTGCCCATCGACAATGAAGCTCAGCGTCCCATCATCCATGTCCAGGACCACCAGGAAGGAGTCGGGCACGATGAAAGTCTCGTCCGGCTCCAGGAAGGCGGGGTAGGTTTTGCTGGGCTGGTTCTTGCCGTCGTGGTAGAGCCTGTTGCGGCCCAGGTCCCAGCCCCACGACTCGTGGTTGTTCCCCACCAGGGTCGTGTAGCCCACCGAGTGCAGGGGGGCGTCCGCCGTGGCCACCCCCACCACGGCGTGGGTGCCCCGCTGCCGCATGGCCCACGTGATCTGCCACACGTGCAGCCCCCGCGTGTACCCCACCTTGCCCCTGATGGCGTCCGTGCTCTGGGCCACCGGATGCCGGTGAAATATGAGCTTGTCGTCCTCCTTCACGAACACGTTCAGCGAGCGGTCGTCGTTGTTCCACGAGTGCAGCAGCTGCACCTCGTAGGACACGGGAGGCATGTCCAGCAGCAAGTCCAGCCGCGTGGGTTTGCTGTAGTCGAGTCCTTGGAGCTCCTGTTTCAACGGCCTATACACAGGGTCCCTCATATCCACAGTCTTTATCCCACCTGTGACCTTCTGACCCATGGTGTGTCCTGGTCTCACCTCTTCACAGGCTCATCGGGTTCACCTGGCAGCTTCTGCTGTCATTCAGCCCCGCAGAAAAGGTCGCTAGGAGACTCTGTCAAGATGTGCACCACTCAGGATTGCCTAACGGGTGGAAAGAAAAACAGGAGGCAAGTTAAACATTAGCGCACGCAGCCTTGCGTGCCGCATTTACAGAGCGCAGCACTCATCTGTTTATCCCAACACCCTGTCCTGCCTTTCCACCAGCAAGAAAGGGCTCCACGGATAGCCTGGCAAAGCACAGAGCAGCCACCGACACGGGGTTGAGGAGATAACTCTCTTCAAGCCCGCTGAAGCTTTGCCGAGTACCTTGGAGGCCTGACTGCAAGCCCGAAACAGCAGACAAAACCTGCAGGGTCCGTCCTTGGGGGACACTCATTCCAGCAGCTCCTGGTGCTCTCGGCCCCACTGAGGCACTGCAGCCAGGGAGCAGATAAAAACCTGCTGTGTGGTTTGTCTCAAAGGAGCAGCTTCGGTTGGGGCAGCTGCTCCTCTCCAAGAGGGAAAAAAAATCCCCCACTTGAGTCGCAGAGTCCAAGGGGGAGGAGCGAGATTCTTCTCACAGTTTAGCAGTTCTCCTTCCAGATTTCAGAGAAACCTTCTAAAACATTTAAGCCAGCTTGGCTAGAGATACTAGCTCACTTTGTGTACCTCTCCTCCAGCACTGCATCCACTGAAGTGTCTCTGCTCTCACTCAGCAACACAAACAACCCTCTGTAAGGCAGCTGCCAAACTGGGGGCAGCTATTAGGAGAATTAGAAGTGGGAGGGGAGCAAACGAGCTTTCTAAGAAAAAAAAGTGTTATTTTAACATTTCCTGAAGTGAGGCAATCATGCAGCACTCCTGCCAGCTACAGTCACAACACTTACTCACAACCAAGGACCTCATCTGGCATGCAAAATAAGAGCATGAATCAGATCTGGTTTAAAAATAAGATTACTGGACATCAGCAGCAAGGCTTCAGCTAGAAGGTGACAGGGGAGGCTCATGTAGGTTGAAGGCCCCTGTATGTTCAATTCAGCAGCTTCCCTACAGGTTTTTACCACTAATCTAAGGTATGTCACTTGAACAGTGAGCTAAATCTTAATTCCTAAGTAACAAGAGACAAGACTTTTCCTTTCCTTCCCTCCTTTTTTTTCAAGGATGGGAGAGGAAAAGGCCTGAAGTTCTTTAAAAGTCACCCCCCAACACACAGGCTGCAGAACAGCTATTTCAGACTATCCAGGAACCTCAGATGTTTGGCACTGGCAGAGAGAAGATGCCATTTAAACAGGGTCCAGTCATGTTATCAGCTGCTAAGATAACCAAGACATCCTGCAACTTAAATAAATACCATCCCCAACATCAAAACAAATCCTGAACCACATGAGCCAGCTGGTCAACAGCTGAAGATAAGCAAGTAACAGCAAAATCAACAGAGGGATGGAGGTGCCTGGATGTGTCGTGGTTTTGCTCCACAGAAAGCACCAGGTGAACCACCTGGCATTGCCCAGGCCTGTGGCATAAGGGCAAAGGCTGTCCCAACAAGGGACTGGCTAAAGTACACATGGAAGTCCAGAGGCAAATTCAGCTGCTGGAATTTTGATTAGGATAAAGGAACAAAACATTGGCAGAAGGAGGAGAGGCAGAGACTTCCTGTGCAGTGCATGTGAGAACACAGCATAGGAAGCAAGAACCAAAACAAAGCAGACTGCCAGACTGCAGGAGTACTTGGTGCAGAGCTCTTCGAGGCACAAAACACTCCAGAGAAGCAAGAGAATACAATTGTGCTCTTCATTAGCAAAACAATGCCTCGTTCATCGTGACTTTTTGCCTTTTGCCAACACAAGCTTCATCATATTTCTCTCAAGGCCGATGCACCAGAAAGGGAATCACCCCAGTGAAAGACAGTAGGGACTTCTGAAGCACAGGACACCCTCCACTGCCTGCTTGGCTCTGCAGGGGAAGCAGCTTTTCTGCACACAAGCACCACTCATCACTTCCATTAGTTACGACTCTTTCCCAGGCAGACTGTTAACACCAGACGAAAGACAATGGCCAGAAAAAAGGGAAAAGAGGAAAGAAAGAAAAAGGGTTGGAACAAAGGGGTTGATTAGAGTGAGAGCAGGTCAGACACTGAGCACCATACGCCAAGATTTAAGTGCAACATGGCTCCTTATTAGGGCAAGGCAGTAACTCCTGCTCACAGCTGGCTCTGCTGCCGCTCCTGGCACTAGCCCGGTCTGGAACTGCAGGGTGGCACCTTGCCCTGCAGTCAGGAAGCACAATTACACCCTAATTTTTTAAAAGGAAAAGCCTCTTCATGCACAAGACAATACAGGCATTTTCCTGCAGCAGGAGAGATACAGAAGAGCTTATCCTCTCAAATTAATGGATTAATGCCCTGGGCAGCTCGATAGGAGACACAGCCAGCCATAAATGAGAAGATACGCGAGGGAATGGGCTGCTTCAAAACCTTTGAACTGTTACAGGTTTAAGTACAAATCTAAACACTGAAAGTGCTTTTATCTCTCTTATCAACAGCTCAGGCTTGCTGCAACTCTGCTCCACTTCACAAAACACAAGCTCATCCCCCCATGATGCTCAGTTCTGCTCCCATGCTTTTTTTCAGCTCTATTGTTAACCTTCTGGGCTTAAAAGCTTTGGAATGAAATTATAAGAGTGTCTCAGAGAAAAGCATTCCCTGCTGTTTCCAGTGAGAATTAGACCTCCCCTCGATCTCGCTGCTCAGAGCGAGCAGGCAGTTTGCCATACAAGAAAGATATGCCAGATTTCAAAACAACTGCTTGCTGAAAATAGATCAAGGCAGGGAGACAGAAAGACATCTCAATGCAAGGCAAAGTCCCCGCTGTTGGACAGGGAGAACACAAGTCTTCGAGGAAAATATTGTATATGACACAGCAGGGTTGGCATCCAACTTCTCTCTTCAGCTCAGCAAACCCAAGGCTCCTCATGGCTCCTCCCTTGCTCTGCAGCTCAACACCTACAGACACCTGTCTGGAGCATCAATAACAAGAACACTTGAAGGGTCTCAAGCTCCTTGATTCCTGATCCAGTCTTACTTTAAGTCTTTTTATTCAAGTCAGTTTACTGTGGCTTTATTTCCTCCACATAATATTAATTAAGTGTACTTCTACAGATAAGAGGCCAGACCTTTAAACACCTAACAGGCTCTGGGTGCTCTACAGGCAATGAATCAGAGCCCTACCCTAAAGATTTCCAGCCTGGAACACACCTCAGGAGAAAAGATATTCTACCCATGGTGATTTACTTGCTTACAGCTTTAGAAGTTGAATTAAAGGATCCCAGATAGTACTAACAAATGAGACCAAAAAAAAACACAAAACCCCACTGTGGTTTTGCTCATGTTCCCATGATTTTACTAGAAGAGCATGAAGTAAACCTGGTTCATTTTCTTGGGTTGAATGTTCATCCTGCAAGCCAATAAACCACACTACTCCTGGTTTGCTGACCAGAAGGCAGATATGTGCACAACTAGTATGCCAGAAAGTGCCCACAAAGACCCTTCCTTAGAAAGAAAGGGATTTCCCCTTCCCCCCTGGATGGGGCTGAGAACAGATCCCTCGATCCCGCAGACCTTCTGTATCACAGAAACCAAGATGCATCAGCAATGCTACAACACCTCTTAACCAGCATGAAGAGGGATGAAGACTCACGTGCCCCTGACAGCATTCAAACTTTAGCCCCAAAGAACCAGGACACTCGATTTTCCCTGCTTGCTGTTGGTTTTTGGCACCACAAACACAGCAGCCTACTTGCAAGCATGCATTTCTGCCCACTGCAGAACCTGGTCCCAGGAGGGCTGTGACACCCCCTTTCCAGTGCTGATGCAATCACTTCACCACCCTTCTGGCTTCAACACCCTTCCCACCCCATTAAATACTGATTAAACCTTGGGGGGAAAAAAAGCTCACCTGTGCTGCTGAAGAAGTTTTGCAGTGCTGTGTTGGCAGAGCCCAAGCAGCTACGGGACAGATGACAGGAACAACTGCCCCAACAACACGGTTCGAGCGCCTTTGAGTGTTGCAAGTTTGCTGAGATCAGGACTGGGCAGGCAACCCTTGCTGCACAGCACTGGCTGCCTCACTGCTGCCTTGCCCCACGTGGAGAAAGTTGCCACAGGGGCAACTTGCTCAGCCCCACCTCCTGAGGAGCAGGAGCAGTTGGGCTGGGCAGGTTGAGGTGCTGGCAGGGCTGTGTGGCCTCTGCAGGAAAGTGAAACTGAGGTCACCGCAGGTTGGGTGAGCAAGAATGAAGACAAGGTGGCCCATGTCCCAGCAAACAGCACACAGGAAAATCCTCCAGCAGAGTAAGAGGCCCCTGACAAGTTACTGTGCTCGAGATATGGCAGGGATGGGGAGAACAAGTCACTTTGGTTCGGCAATGCTCGACTTGCCTGGACTACGAAGCTAACCACCACCTTGCTGAGCAAACAGCCTCATTCACCTACTGAGCAGGCACCAAGGACTCTGCTCCGTCATACACGAGGCAGCCAGTCCACCCCCAGACACACCAGAAAAGGCTTCTGCCCGAGGAAGCCAAGAGCATGTCATCATTCAGCACTGCCAGGACTTGCAACCACTGAGAATCAGCTTGTCTGTGAATCCAGCTCTCCATCCTTCCTCTCCTTGGGATGATTCAGACAGTTTCTGCTGAAGTTCTCTAGCTATTTTTGCCAGGCTGAAGGCAAGATGCCCTTTAACACCATTTCTCCAGTGTCTGGTTCTCTAAGACAAAGCACTGAAGTTACTCAAAGGAGCACATCTGAGTCAATTAAAATCTGAAGTAACAACCGTGACCCATCCTCAACTAAGCTTGGTCAAACTTAAGCAAATTTCCACCTGTCCACCTACCCAGGCAGTTCCTGCTCACTGCAGTGCTGCATAATCTAGCAGAAAACACCACTAAAAACCAGGAGAGGTTACTTTGCAAAGCACCTGTAATGATGGAAGCAACCCAGACAAAAGGAGTTCCCCAAGTTCCTGCCTGAGATCTTCTATTGAAGGATAATTATAAATGGCAATTTTGGTTCAGAGAAACTAAGGCAGCCCTTTCAATGAAAAAAAACTCCCAACTTAGGGCTGGTTTTCCTCATGGAGGAAGTTCAGGGGATGTTGTAAAGGTCATTAGGCTCTTTACAGCTCCGTGTAAGGCAGCTCATGAATGTCAGCTGCGTGTTAGAGACCAGGCACAAACCAAGGCTCTTTAAAATAGCTTCTCAGAGGCAGATTGCAGCCATTTGCCTGCAGCCATTCTGTTCTTGGCATGAAGCACTGTTAGTTGAGCTCCCTATGGTCAAACCCACTTAGCCCAGTACTCTAAAGCAGCTCTTTTGTACCTTTTCCAGCACTACCTTGGGGACGCCCTGTCCTGGGTATTCTGAGGACAGCAGCACTAGGAAGC